TTGCAATTGTCCCCCCAAAAATTCCCCCCCCCCCCCCCCCCCCAAAAAAAACTAAATGTTAGGCTCAAATATTAGCTGTAAAATATAAATAACTTAAACTCATAATATTATTTTACATCAATAATAATGGCTCCCATTTTTAATTCAGATCACCTTGAGTAATGAATGAGCCATACGACAAAGCTTTTAGTATATGGAATCCTACATTAAAATACAGGGATATAGTCATGCAGTAAGTGCTCGCTGTTGTCTGAGCTGATATTGCGTTTTGCATTCATCTGGATCATCTTGCATTCACGCGCCCGTCTGGATCTTATAGGAGTTCTTCATAGAAAAGTAAATAAGCTTGAGAGTTCAGCACTCTGGACTCCGGTACAGTCTGAACGCTGGTATCACTAACATACACCCACTGACCTTGTGGGGCTGAGCTGGCCTCTCTGGAACCTAAAAAACAAATAGATGCTGGTATTCAGAGAACATCCACAAAAACATCCAGATTGTGTTAATAGTCATCAGTTTCAGCATTTTTACAGTCAATTACAACTAAGTGGAAATTTATTAAAAATTTTTTAAGACAAAGCTTTTAGTATATGGAATCCTACATTAAAATACAGGGATATAGTCATGCAGTAAGTGCTCGCTGTTGTCTGAGCTGATATTGCGTTTTGCATTCATCTGGATCATCTTGCATTCACGCGCCCGTCTGGATCTTATAGGAGTTCTTCATAGAAAAGTAAATAAGCTTGAGAGTTCAGCACTCTGGACTCCGGTACAGTCTGAACGCTGGTATCACTAACATACACCCACTGACCTTGTGGGGCTGAGCTGGCCTCTCTGGAACCTAAAAAACAAATAGATGCTGGTATTCAGAGAACATCCACAAAAACATCCAGATTGTGTTAATAGTCATCAGTTTCAGCATTTTTACAGTCAATTACAACTAAGTGGAAATTTATTAAAAAAAATTTAAAAAAAACAAGGGCTTTTGTATATGTAAAACAATGCATGCAACAAACAATACAATACTGTATGCAAAAATGCATAGAGTAAGGCTGGTTCAAATTTATGGCTGTGTATTTAACAAACAATAACAAACCCACTGAAATTAAATGTGTATCAAAGTAATTAAAGTGTATTTAAAATAATTATACTATTTTATTTCTTTGATTGTTAGGATACACATTAAATGCTACCAGAACGCCTATAAATTATATATAAATATAATTATATATATCATATATATATGGACCACAAAACCAGTCTTAAGTAGCACAGGGATATTTGTAGCAATAGCCAACAATACATTGTATGGGTCAAAATTATCGATTTTTCTTTTATGCCAAAAATCATTAGGATATTAAGTAAAGATCATGTTCCATGAACATATTTTGTAAATTTCCTACCATAAATATATCAAAACTTAATTTTTTATTAGTAATATGCATTGCTAGGAACTTCATTTGGACAACTTTAATGGCAATTTCCTCAATATTTTGATTTTTTTTTGCACCCTCAGATTCCAGATTTTCAAATAGTTTTATCTTGGCCAAATATTGCCCTATCCTAACAAACCATATATCAATGAAAAGCTTATTTATTCAGCTTTATGTATAAATCTCAATTTAAAAAAATTGACGCTTATGACTGGTTTTGTGGTCCAGGGTCACACACACACACACACACACACACACACACACATATATATATATTATATATATATTATATTATATTATTACTTTTGCCTTTTAAACAGTTCTAAAAACGCAAAAAAGATTTTCAGCCCCTGCTTCCATTCAGTGACTCTTTTAGAGTGTAGTCTTCATTATAACCAACAATTCAGCTTCAATCTGTGCACTGCAACAGTTAACTACCACAGCTCTCCGTGGGCTTTTCACTCTGTTCCAAACACTGCTGAAAGGTGTGCTCTCTCCTTGAGTAGAGTGGAGAAGAACGCATCTATAGATCATCAACAACAAACAAATCCCACTTGGCCTTTACTAAGCAAGCCGCATCCTCAAGGTTGTGGTCCAATGCCGAGATGCAGACAATTCTTTGTTTACCCACAGGTTTTTCAGGCCTTTCAGCACCAGCTGCAAAGAAATGCACTGACGAGCACATGGAAATGATATGCTGCCTGGGTGGCTTTGTACCTGACTGGTTCCGGCGCTGTTCAGGTTTACGCTGAGGGGTGCGGACCCTCACGTAGGCTGCATAGTGCCCACCTCGCATTGATCCGCTGTGTTCCACAATGCCGTACAAGCTGTACAGAACACGCTCCCCTGACCCGAGGTTCTGCCACACACACATACTGAATCAATACTGTATACGGATTCATAAATCATTGGTCTTTACTCTTTACTGATATGTATAACTCTAATCAGTACCTTACAAGTGGCAGAGCAGAAAGGTGCCAGGTCTAACAAAAGAGGAAAATCCACATGTCTATTAACTTTCCTCAGATTCATCCCGGCCTGCAAAGATAAAGAAAGCTCAATCAGTGTACCACCACACAATGAAGCATATAACACATGACCTTGCTCACATACATACACACACGTATACATATATACACATATATATACATATATATATATATATATATATATATATATATATATA